GTGTGGGAGGTTTCCTGGTGGTCAGTCTTCATTAACTGCACATTGCACCAGTAAGAGCAGAGTGTGAAGGTTCAGTTAGCAGGGTAAGAGCACAGTTTGGATCTAAATATTACAAAGTACACAACATTATGGTGACATACCAGAGTTCAAAAGAGGACAAATTGTTGGTGCACGTCTTGCTGGAGCATCTGTGACCAAGACAACAAGTCTTTGTGATGTATCAAGAGCCACAGTATCCAGGGTAATGTCAGCATACCACCAAGAAAGACCAACCGCATCCAACAGGATTAACTGTGGACGCAACAGGAAGCTGTCTGAACGGGATGTTATGGTCTAAAACCAGCTGGTTCACTTTCATTGTCTAACCCCTGTACATTGCCTGGCCAAAAATGGTCACAAYCTGGATTTAACTAAGCAAATAGGTTAGAGCCTTCCATTGGATATTTACTGCAGAGGTGATTATATTTCAGCTGGCAACAAGTTCATCAAGAGATTTTTTCTTCCCTTATGGTATGGGCTTATTTCAATTCACCAGATTCAAAATGTGACAGACATGGATTTATCACTACAGAATCCAGACCTGAACCCCAATGAGAATCTTTAGGATGTGCTAGAGAAGAGTTTGTGCAGTCGTCAGAATATGCTGTCATCAATACAAGAATTTGACAAATTGTTCTTAGAATTGAAAACTCTGTGTTTCTAGATCTGGGTGAATGAAGAAACAAAGTTGGTGTACTTTCAAGGCACCAGAGACACACCGTTGGAGCACCACCTGTACGTGGTCAGCTAYGAGTCAGCCGGAGATGTCATCAGATTGACCAAGCCTGGTTTCTCACACAGCTGCTTTGTTAGTCAGGTACTGAGTCTATATTTTCCTTCAAACTCCAAACTCAKCTGTCTTACRCAAAAAGCTATGAAGTTGATGGGAGTCAAGCAGCATCCCTCACTTCAGACCATTTTCAATGAAACAACAACCAAACAGGCCCAGAAAACCATCTCAGACCTGACTCATATTCTTTATCCAGAGTACCAGTTTCTTCCTTCAGGTCGGCGTCTCAGAGTTCCTGCATGTAGACTGAACCATTTCAAGAACTCATTTGTTCCACTTTCTATGAAAGCCATAAACTGTAACCATGAATTCTGATTTTAAGCAATGATGTTTATGATTTTACATTGTACAAACATGTTTCTTTTATGCACTCTCTCTCTTGAAATGTATTATTCTAAATATGTGTTTTATGCGAGGATGTAAAGTGTCTGTGTTGTGAGTTGTTTGAGCTGTGTAGCAGTCAGGTTCTGAACCCAAGACAAATTTCCTTCAGGACAGTAAAGTTAATCTTACCTTATCTTATCTAAATATGTTGTAAAAGTTTATATTTAA